GTGTGTGTGTAAAGGGCAATGCATTTAATAAATTGTTAAAGAGTAATAATTAATAATATTAATTATTTTACATGAGAATGGTCTAAAATACATTAAGATTTAGAAGAAAAATTTATGTGCTTTTACTGGTGGAAAAGTGCTCTTAAAAATGTCTTCAAATTATGAAATTATCATCACATTTCTGGCTTTAAATTTACTTCCATTTGTAAGTGCTTCACTGTAACATAATTTTTGTGGAAATCAAAATATTTTTGTGCCAATCAACATTATGCCACAAATTATAAACAGTGAATAAACCCAGAATATTCCTTTAAGACTGTAACAATAATGTAAAATTCCAATAGCAACAGTTTAAATGCTCCAGTCCATACGGAAATGCATTCAAACAAAGCTTTCAGGATGATTAACATTTAGCTCACACGACACGGCACACACAGTTGGGATTAATTCAGAGGGAAAGGATCCTTTTTAACGGAACCATTCGGCTTTTATGGTGTGTCCTCTGCCGTAAAAGACACAGATGTGTTTCTTCATTTCCAGTGAAATGACTTAAAGTCCCTGATGATGAGGCAGGGGGAAAGGTTAAAATTACATTGTTCTGGTAAATTACACTCAGAGAAATGGCTGCAAGGCAAGAGATATATCAGAGAATGGAGCCAAATGCAGATGGAGGTCCTGTGTGGTTTAGCCTGGCTGCTGGATGCGTTTGAGCTGCCTGTGTTTGATGATTGCGATCGGCGTTAATTAAATGTGCTAATATTGCCCTTACTCCGTGTTTGTCTCTTCTCATTTAGAGCAACAGGGTTTGAAAAATGCTTTTCTTTTCCGTCTTCCCTCCCCCTCCTTGTTCTGTCTGCTCAGTGAGGCTTCTAAAACAATTCCAAATATGTACATTCTTTGTTTGATATTTTAATTATTATTTTTAATGTTGGAAGAGATCTTGAGGTGGAGAGATGGAGAAAAACAAACAAAAAAAGAGAGAGGGGGGTGTGTGTGAGAGAGAGATAGCAAGTTCTGTGGCAAGCTGGTCACAGCGCAGGGTAATAAGGTCAATGCGAAAAACAACCCAGGGGCACATTTCCCAGTAAATGTGTGGAGCAGAAGCACACTAACGCATGTACTCGCACACACACACACACACACACACACACACACACATCAATTGCCAGAAAACATGACATGACCTTTCAGATTCACTGAGCATCAAGCGTGAGCGGGACTGGCGTGCTTTCCATCTCACCGCACCCCATGCCTCTTCCGCCCACCCTGCAACCCCCAGGGCCCTCGACTCACCACAAATAATTACTCTCCATCCAGTCCACTCTCTGCAAGGCATGGCCAAAAAAACTTGACTCTACACTTGACCCATCCATGTGTGCATATACTATAGACAAATCAGAACATATTCAGAATGTATCTATATAACTCTTGTAGAGTAGAGCAGTATAACCTTAGGACATTTAAAGAAGAATCTTTTAAAAATACATTGCGATATTCTGCAAGTGTAATGTGTATCATACAAATTTTTAAAAATAATTATTATAATAGTTTTACTCTTTACATTGTTGTAACTCCACAAGATTATTTACTAGCATTTAAAAATATAACACATATAAAAAACATAATACATATTTTAATGTGTGTGTGTGTGTGTGTGTGTGTGTGTGTGTGTGTGTGTGTGTGTGTGTGTGT